CACTCCCCTTCCTGCTTTGGATGTCCTTTGTTTCCTTCCCTTAGCTCCTGTCTATGGAATGATACACAGACTTCCTAGTGTCCTGAGAAAGAGCATGAACCAGTGCATCCTGGTCTTGTTCCCATCTTTAGTGAAGTAATTCTATGCTTTCTGCATTCACTAAGCGATAGACTGTTCATTTATTGCATATAATTCACATTGTGTGAAGTTACACTCTTGTCTACTTTATTGAGCATTTTTGCTTTCTTTTAAAAAATGTTGTCAGTGTGTGTTATGTGGTGATGCGCATGCTGTTGCATATATGTGGTCAGCAGACTGTTGTGAGACCTGGTCCTTGCCTTCCACCTTCTCTGGAAATTGGTCTATCTTGGTGTTTTTGTGTCTCTGCTGATCTTACCTTGTAACTGGCCTGATGTCTTTTGTCTTTCTCATCTCTGCTTCTCCTTTCCCTGTGGGAGTGTTGAGATTGAAGACATGTACTTGCACTCTGGCTTTTTAGTAGGGATCAGAACTCGGCTGGTCAGCCTTGAGCAGCAATCAGAAATCACTTTCATCCTCTGTGCCATCACTGTGGCCCATGTTTGCTTTCTTAATAACAGTCCATCAATTGTTTTTTTTTTTCTCCATCAATTGTTTTTTTTTTCAATGTTTTAATAAGTGGTTATTTAAAAAGAACTCATCTCTTTGCTCACAATTTTTTCCTCTGTCTCATCAGTTCAGCTGCTGGACTCGTTTCCTTTTTACCCCTGCCCTTTTAAATGTTTTATTTAAGTAATTCAGCTCTTTGAAAAGCTGCTTCCTCACTTTTTAAGCACTCTCTCGGGTCCCTTGGTCCTGATAGCCCATGTGTCCTCCTTTTGTGGGGTTTTTCCCTCTCCTTTTCTTTATTCTTCACTTGTAGAAACGTCATGGTGGATTATTCATCATGGAGGTTATTGCCACTTGAGGGTCACATTCCAGGTAATGAAAGATGTGCGAGTGCAATCACTCTATAACAAAAGTTATTTAGGGAGCCAGGATATGTTCTCGCAGGTCAAAACTTCGTGACCTGAGTTCCATCCCATTTTCCAAATGTAGGGGTAAGAAGAGAACTGACTCCCCAAAGTTGTTCTGTGATTTCCATGTGCCTGCTGTGCTATACACAGGAACATATTATGTATGTGCACACAGATGCATGCACACAATAATAAAATCCTTTATAGTTTCTAATTTAGCCATCATAGCACAGCATCTCATATCAGACTTACCATTTGGGCACAGGCTTCTATCATTTTCTGTTTACAGGGTACTGCATGACCAAACCTGAATTGATCTTCAGGCTGGAGCATGGATTTGAGCCATGGAAGATAGGAGAAGCCTCACTCTGGAGTCTCCCAGGTCAGGGAATGCGTGCTGGAGAAGGGAGGTCAGCAAGAGGCTTGCTCATAAGATACTCTTCATGCAGAGATGTCTCCACCAACATTAGTCCAAGCCTAGTCCCAATGACAGGTAGTTTTTCCTGTCAGGTATTTATTTAATCTTACACAGTTTCTGAATGAAGTTCTCTGTGTCAAGCCTGCCCAGGCTGTCTGAAAGTAAGTGTGTGTGTGTGTGTGTGTGTGTGTGTGTGTGTGTGTGTGTATAGCCAAGAAGAATGTGTTGGATCTACTGTGGTTAGACTTATAGGCAATTGTGAATCACCTAACATGGGTGCTAGGAATTGAACTCAGGTCCTTTGGAAGAGCAGCAAGTGCTTTTAACCACAAAGCCATCTCTCCAGCCTCATGTTGGTTAGATATTTTACATAAATTCTTAATTGTCCTTGTTTCATATATAATTTTTGTTTTATTTTTTAATTTGCCTTTGTTGAAATGGTCTTCCAACCTCTTGGCAGTCAGGGGAGACTAACACCTAAATGAACTCCAACCTGGCAGAGAAGCAGGACAGGGTTTATGAAACTTAAAACTAATATTACATCATGCCAGGGACAAAGCCAGTATCCATAGTTACATCAGATCACTGTAGTTACACCAGACCAGGGGAAGGTCAATTAACAAAGAGGGTTTCAGCTAACAAAACATTTCTCAGAAATGCAGAAAATTTGGCTCCTTGGAATTGCAGGTATAGCTTGGTGGGTGGTGATAACCTGGACATGCTACCTGTAAGTGTCCCAGTACTGTAGAAACAATGTACCCCTTGAAAATATAGGTGTGGCCTTCATAACTGACTGGCTTTGTCTAGCTCCAGTGAGAATAGCTGGACAGAACCACAGGTTAAAGCAAAAGTCAGGCAGGATCAAATGGAATTAGTTTTGCCATTTCATTCCTCCCTGGTCTGGTCACAGTCAAAATATTGGCTTAATATCCTCAGGTGACAGTAGGTTGTACTAAGTCCTCAGGTACATTAATTTGAGACAGTTATCTGTTGTTTGATAAAGTTCAGCACCCAGTTAAATAGGCAAAGCCCAATCTGTAAACCCAGGAGGAGAAGGACAAGAGGTCTTGTTAGGCCTGGAAATATGGTAGTCAGCCATAGATTCTAATCAAACCAGTGATGGAACTGGACTTCTTTCTCCTTTCTGAACAGGTGGCAGGGTATAGAGGAAGGATCCAGGGATATGCCTGGATCATTGTTGGAGAAACGAGATTTTTTTAAGAGAGACTGGTCAGTAATTTTTTCAGAATAGGGTTCCTTAGTCTAGGCAGTAGGGGAGTCAGACTTCTGAACATAATCTATATGGGGTGAAATCACTTTATAGGGAATATATCTAACCTGGAGACCAGGGTCAGGAGGTTGGGCCAGTTTTCACGGGTCTCTGAGATAAATTTAGCATTATATGAGCCCATTGAGAGGCAACCCAAACCTAGGATTTATCTCCCACAGGAGACTTTTTACCATTGTGAGGGAAAGGCCTCCTCTATCTAACTGGAGGATGTGTCTACAGTACCAGAAAGTAGTTTAGTCATGGCGGAGCCCAAAGCCCATAAATCTGTCCAAAACCACCGAGGTTCCTCAGGGACCTAAGGAGTCCTTTTGATGCTCTGAGCCCAGAGAACCCTGAGCACTGAACCAACTGGAAGATAGGATGAAAAGTATTTGAAGTGAATGTGACTTGTAACCCATTTTCTGTACACAATTGCAGATCATATCCATTATTTTGTACAATTTGATCTAGTGTAAAAGTTGTCAGAAAATTTGCTATTGATAATCTCCACTATTGCACAAGAATATATTGTGTAATTGCAGCATAATATTTTCTTAGCATTTTATTTTTAACAAAAAGTTTATCATTTTATAAAACGTATCCATATCCTGGAGATGAAAGAGATATATAAATCATAAGATGGATTAAAGGAATTATTTGGAAAAATCTGTCCTCTGTTGTGAAAGGAAAATAATTACATAGAATAACCAATGAAGGATTCTTTTGCTTTTTTTCAGGGCTAAGTAAACAAACTGCAAATACATTTATACTAATCCTTTCACTAACCTGCTTATGAGACAGGATATATGACCTGCCTATTCATAGCCGATAGATGACAATCTTCCTGTTTGTCATAAGATGTGATATAGTATGATGTATGTACAGTTGATAACAATGGAGGAATGGAACACAGGGTTAAAATAGCATTTACAAGGTACATAAACGACTGATCTCTGCATATTTCTGGACTGAGAGAAAGCAACAAGGAGACATGAGTTAGCTCTGCCATGCCTTTTACTGTGATTTATTGTATGCATTATGGATCTATGTTTAGACTTATTAAACTTCATGTAATTTTAAACTAACATAATATATGTACTTCATGCATATGTTTAAGAAACAATGTTTGACTTGAGGTTGGTGATATTATCATTTCAGGTGTCCCTATTACTAAGAGTTGCCTGGAAATTCAAGAGACGCAAGTGAGACGCACCAAGAGTATTCTAAGTGAAGTGATCACTGAAGTAGGTAAAACGTTAATGCCAGCACAAACTGTGTTTGGAATATAAATTTAAAGACAGGAAGCACTTAGATTGTTTTCTCAGTAACTTAACCTGTGGTAGAATGTAATACTTTTCTATTGTGAGCTTGATAAGATATATTTGTGAAACTTCTAGAGGTAAATTCAGTTACTGTTCGAAATCCTTTTTTTCTTTAACACTTACTCTATAGGATATTTCTTATGTAAGTAAGCATCCATGACATGTAATATATCTTGGCTAATGAAGTGTATCTAGACTAATGTCAGTAAATGATTCAGTACCCTATGGGAGATAATATTATAAATGTATTTTCTGTGAAAAATCTTAAGGCATTTTGTCATGCTAATTATGGGGGCACACACCCTTAATCTCAGCACTTGGTAGGCAGAAGAGAAGTGGATCTCTGAGAGCTTGAGGCAAGTACCTGACCAACCATACCTAAAGAGTGAGACCCTTTTCCAAAAAAGAAATAATTAATATATTTTATCTCACAAAACATCATTAGGCACATGCTGAGAAAAAGCCCTATTGATAAAACAATTTTAATAGATTTTTTTGTCTCAAGACAGAGATGAGGATTCAACCGGAAGTCCATCAAAGTGCAAAATCATATGAAAGTGAACCATGTATGAAAATGATTAATCTCATGTCACAGCACCCCAAGACACACACATATCACTCAAGTGTGAAATCTTCTGAAACTCAGGAATGTCAGAAAGCTTTCTATTCTAAGTCCAATGTCACTGCACATAAGAGCCTTCATATAGATGAGAAGCCATATGAATGTAAAGAATGTGGTAAATATTTCTTACGCAAGTCAAACTTCACTAAACATCAGAGAATTCATACAGATGAGAAGCCCTTTGTATGTAAAGAATGTGGCAAAGCTTTCTTCTATAGGTCACGCTTCACTCGCCATCTTATTTCTCATATATGTGAGAAGTCTTATAAATGTGCAAAATGTGGTAGCTCTTTCTACCACAAGTCAAAACTCATTGAACATTTGAGAACTCATACAGGCGAGAAGCCTTATGAATGTATACAGTGTGGTAAAGCTTTCTGCCGCAAGTCAGCCCTCAATAGACATTGGAGAACTCATACAGGTGAGAAGCTTTGTGAATGTAAACAATGTGGTAATGCTTCCTCCTGCAAGTCAGCCCTCATTGACCATCAGAGAACTCATACAGGTGAGAAGCCTTATGAATGTATACAATGTGGTAAAGCTTTCTACTGTAAGTCAGCCTTTAATAAACATCAGAGAACTCATAAAGGTGAGAAGCTCTATGAATGTGAAGAATGTGGCAAAGCTTTCTTTTCCAAGTCACGCTTAGTCTGCCATCATAGAACTCATACTGGTGAAAAGCCTTATGAGTGTCAAGAATGCAAAAAAGCTTTTTCCTCCAAGTCATTTCTTAGTATACATCATAGAACTCATACTGGTGAGAAGCCCTTTGAGTGTGAAGAATGCAGGAAAGCATTTTCCTCCAAGTCACTTCTTAGTGTATATCGTAGAACTCACACAGGTGAGAAACCTTATGAATGTCCAGAATGCAGGAAAGCCTTCTCCAAGTCAGTCCTCAATACACATCGTAGAACACATACAGGTGAGAAGCGCTATGAATGTGAAGAGTGTGGTAAAACTTTCTACTACAAATCATTTCTCAGTGTACATCATAGAACTCACACAGGTGAGAAGCCCTATGAATGTAAAGAATGCAGGAAAGCTTTCTCCTCCAAGTCTGGTCTTAGTGCACATCATAGAACTCATACCAGTGAAAAGCCCTATGCATGTGAAAAATGTGGGAAAGGTTTCTCCTCCAAGTCAATTCTCAGTGCACATCAAGTAATTCATACATGTGAGAAGACCTATTGATGTGAAGAATATAGGAAAACTTTTTCTTCCAAGTCAGATCACAGTGCATATCATAGAACTCATACAGGTGAGAAGCCATATGAATACAAAGATTATAGAAAAAATTTATTCTGCAGGGCACACTTATCTTCATATCATAGAACTCAATAAACCATAATAATGATGTAGCTAAAATGATGTACATTCTGGGAGGTGTAAACAGAATTATCATCCTTACCCCATGTTGTACCCTCTGACAAAAGGAGACTTGATTTCACCAAACTACAGTCTAGGAAAGCACTGAGTTTATTGAGCTTACTTATAGAGCAATATGTGAGGTTTCACATACAGAAGTGTGAGTGCTTCTCCACACCCAGGAGCTACACTGGAAAGTTTTCATCCAAGCGTGGATGATGACTTTCTCACAGTTGCACAAAATGACGTGACACTTCCCACAGCTTTCTCAGCTTGTATACCCTTAGCCCCTTCCATGGTGAGTTCGGAGGTGTGGCTGACTCTCCCTGCCCCTCCTTTCTTGCAGAGCATAATGGTCAACAAGCTTGGCTGTGATGATCCTAACAGGTAAGTGGGTGCAAGCGAATTTGTTTAACAGGCAACTGTCCATGGTCTGCTGGTTGGAGGGCAACCTGTGCAACACTCCACCCCTTCTTCCTGCTCTTACGTTCTTTCCATCATCCTCTTTTACAAGAGTCCCTGAGCCTTGGAGGGGGTGACATAGATGTAGGATGATCTTTGTCCCTCTGTGGAGGAGATACTGAACACTTGGGCCTTTTCATCGTCTGTTTCCAAGACATGGCTTTTGGCCCATCTCAGTGGTGTTCCTCCTATAAAAACACAAATAAAAAGAAGCAAGAACATCTAATCAGACACTGTAATAACCTAACTTATGGGCATAAACACAAATTCTTAGAAGTCACCTTAGCAGGTACATTTCTTCCATCTAACAAAACAATTTGGGTGGCATTCCCAACGGGGCCTATAACTTCCCCTGCCACTGAGGGTTGACCTGATTCACAGTACCAGATATTTGTTGCTTCCTGAGTAGCGGGCCTTAAATCCAGTTGCAAATTTGTTGGTTTTACAGATATTAGTTGTGCCAATATTGCACCAGCCTGCATATCTTGCTTGGCATGTCAGTAGTGCAGCACTTGGGTTCTGTCATTAAACAGAACTGTTGGGGACAATTGTCCCCCAACCATCTGCATAACATCTTCTGGCACTGTGAAGGCCTGCCATCCAGCAACAGGGAGTTTCTACCTAAGTCCCAGCATGATTTCTCCCTTTCCATGCCCACATCCTGTGGTGTCTTTGGAAATAGGGTCTTACCTTCTAGTTCTGGTGTGCAACCAACATTAGTGGCAATAGCTTTTATTGTTTGAGGGCTTCTTCAGGCCCTCTCTAGCCAGCAGCTCATGGGGAGCAACCCACCCCAATAGTGGGATTTTCATTTAACAACCATATAGCTTTTGGAAAGGCCTACCACTACTGTAGTATTCCTTCTGTATTAAGGCTTTTAACTGCTATTTCAATGACCTATTTTTTTTTCTTTCAATTATCTCTGCCCACATAGGATTTTAGGGAAGTTAGAAATACCATTGAACCTGGCTATTCTCAGCCCAGGTTTGGACATCAGTTCTTGTGAAATGAGTGCTCCTGTCACTATCAATTCACTGTGGGCACCTATACATGACATTGAGTTGGGTAAAGCCTTAATGGTAACCTTACTTGCTGCTGCTCATTTTCAAGAAAAGGTCTCCATATGGCCTAGGGCTGTGTCCACACAACTGAGAGCATGCTTGCATCCTTCACTGGCTGGCAGGGGCCCTATATTATCAATTTGCTAGTCCTTTACAGGACAAGCTGGTGTATGCGTGTCTCCCATCATGGCAGCCAGCCTTTGGGGCTGTAACCAGGAACAAGCCTCACAGGACAGGACAGCCTGATGTCTGTCACTGTATTTTACCAGGATGCCAGCAGCTTTGGCTATTTTCCATCCTGTTACAATGCACTTGTTACAATGCTTAGTATGCTGCCAGCAATTCCTACACATTTATTTAGCTTGTTCAACCAGTATCTTGACTTGCTCAAAGGCCTGTTCGACTTTTCCATCCCACTCCCATGTAGCATCACTTTTTATCAAATTATGCAGGGGACAGGAGACCTGGGCAAGGTAAGGTATAAAAATTTGCCAGTATCCTAGAAGTTCTCAAAATATCTATGTTTTGCATTCATTTGCACAGACTGTTGAAATACAGCCATGAAAAAATCCACAGCCATGTTATCATGTGAGTCCTACCTGACCATAAAATTCCTAAAAATTGACCACTGTACCAGGCCCTTTTGCCTTGTGCAGGTTGATTTCCCATCCTTGCTCCTTCAGGTGCACTTGCATGTTCCCCAAATGGGCTTCTCAATCTGTAAGGCACTCAGAAATTAGCATTATATTGTCTATATAGTGGAAACTTCTTTACAGAGGGCAGACAGGGTAACAAGGCCAGGTTCCAGGCCACTCCTATGATAAATGGTGAAGCTATGGAGATAACCTTGGAGAAGTACTCTGAAGGTCCATTGCCATCCATTCCATGTGACTGTGAATTGACCTTAGGCTTCAGCAGCTAAAAGTATACTAAAGAATGGTTACCAAGGTCCACTGTGGCATGGAAGGACCCCATTTACCACACCAGCTGTTCAGTTAGAAGTGCAACATTGGGCACAGCTACATGGATGAAAGATACCACCTTATTCAATTCTCTGTAATCTATACTTGTTCTCCAGGAGCCATCCCTGATAGGCCATATGGGGCTATTGAAAGGGCTCTGGGCTGCGTAGATAATCTCTTCCCTTTCTAGAATCTGGGTGGTTTCTGTAATTTCATTCCTACTGCTAGGCAGCCTGTACTGTTTTAATATTCACCATTCTCCATGGGGTATGTAATTTTGTTGGCTCCCATTGTGGCTACACCTACATAATTGCTGTCATTGTTCCCATCCTCATCCGGAACTCCCCAATAGTAGTATACATGATGTTTCCCAGTATTGCATTTATCCCTAGAATATTCTCCCACATGGAAGAAAAGCACACCTGTACTCCTGCAGGGGGGGAAGTAATTGCCCACCCTCAGAGTGAGTCTAGTCCACTTTACCTGTATGATTTTATCTCCATATGTGTCCACTCCTACCAACTGGCCTTGGTGATTTTGCAGGGGCTATGAATCAATGTACACTATTCCAATTTCCACTAGGGCCCATGTCTTTTGTATATTTGTGGGGTACCAGTAAATCCTCAGTTCAACATGGGGCCTCTGGTCACCCTGTATGGCTCTCATCTGTGGGAAAACTTGGCCACTGCTTCAGGGGAGTGGCTAGGGATGGGGCTCACATCCCAAGAGACCACATTCCTCTGTAGCAGGTGGTGCAATGGGAATCACCTCTTATTCCTGTGGTAAATTGCTGGTCTGGCCTTAAAGCCCTCCATAGGCTGTACCAGCACAGTGCTTGTTTTCCATGAATTTTGTCCCTAGCAACTCCGGCTCAGTGCAGATCCGGCCACAGCTGTGCTTGGGAAATACAGATGGACCCTTTTGTCGGGTCTTCCCCACACCTTTCCCTTGTGCCTACTTGCTTTATTACCCTGTGAACCCAATTTACTCTGAGTTCAAGGACAGCATGGTCTACATAGTGAGTTCCAGGCCAGCTGGGGCTACAGGGAGACCCTGTCTCAAAAAGACCAAAAAACAAAATAAACTTTTTTAAAAAGATACCTAAGAATGTGAAGAATGCAGGAAAGCTTACAGAAAAATACTTGACATCAGAGAGTATATGTACATGAGACCACGCATAGCAAAGAATGTATGAAAACTTGCTACCACAAGGGAGATATTTCTGATCAGAAAACCAATATTTGTATGAGACACCATCTGTGTAAAGAATTCATGAAAACTTTCTACTGAAGGTATTCTGAATGTAAGCAATTCATGTGTGTGATGAAGCCTATGAATTTAAAATGTAGAAAAGCTTTGAATGGTGATGCAAATCTCAGTGAATATTAGTCCACATGCATTTGAATACCACTGTCAGAATATTTACAGTCAGGAAGTTTTCTAGCATAGTACACTGTCCACTGATATTGGAAATACCAGATAATTAAGGGACTCTATTAAAGTAGAGACCATAGGAAAACTTCAGTAAATATGCCTGCCTGTGGAAAGGGATGGGGGTCATCATGTTTCATGGGGTTCAGGATGATTTTGCAAAAAATTTAAGTGAATTACCCTCAGTGAAGACAGTGACATTCCAATAGTTATGCCTTAGGAGATTCTGTTTACATTGCATTAGAAAAAGAAGAAATTTCTAAGAACAGGCAGTTTTATGTGCTTAAAAACAGCATGTTACAACACCATATAGAAGATACAAAATGAGGAAACCCTTCTGGAAGTGGTCACATAATTACATAGTCAACAGAAGACATTGACTGCGAGGAAGGTGATATTACTATATTCAAATTTTTAAGATGTATTTTTTTTAATGTATATGTTTGCAAGTGTCCACAGAGGTGAAAGGAGGGCGTTGGATAACCTGGGGCTGCAATTCCAGGGGATTGTTAGCCATCCAGTATGGTTGCTCATAAGCAAATTTTGGTCCTCTCCAGGAGCAGCACTCAGCTTAAGCCTGAGCCATCTCTCCTTAAAAGTCAACCATGATATTGTGAGAATTGCAATGATGAAATACAAATTAAATGAGTGTGCTATATATGACATAGTCATTGTGAAGGGGTGATGATGCAAGGTGCTGACCTAAGTATCATTGAAAAGCAGGCTTTCACTGGCTTCTGCAAGCTTCCAGTACTGCACAAACTACTCCAGCTGCCAGGTGCTTTTATCAAATGTTAGGAGTTTCATTTGTCATGTTACTCTCCCTGATAGTAAACATGTTTTAGATAAATGAACCTTTTCTTACACTCTAGTTGAAAAACTTGCAAATAAATTGAAAATATTGACATAAAAACCATGTTCCAGTGTTTAATTGGAGTCATCAATGTGAACCTATAATCATTCCATACTGAATCATTCATTGCTTTCTGATTGTTCTTCCTGCCTGCACTCATGAGGTTTTAACTCTGGACCTGTTCTTGTTCTATTTTGATTGTTGTTATTGTACATGTGGACACTAATTATTCTTGTGCATTGTTGGGGAATATCATGTGTATTCATCAGCCAATTTTTTGTGATGAATAATAACTTCTATCTTCAAGAGTATTCATTTCTTCCAACTCATCACCAGTACTTTTTTTATGCCTGCTATGATTTTATTTCTCTAGTTCCCAAGTGTGTTGAGTACATTGTATGATGATGAATTCTTACATGTGTCCTATAACAGTTGGCGATTCAAGTGTATTGCCTATTTGTTCTAGGCTCTTTGTTTATTGCTTTCCTTTTCCTTTTCTTCCTTTTTTTTTCTCTTTGTCTTTTTGAGGGAGGGTCTCCCTACAGTCCCAGCTAGCCTGGAACTTGT